TCCCTTCCCTTCCCTTCCCTTCCCTTCCCTTCCCTTCCCTCCCCTTCCCTTCCCTCCCATTCCCTTCTTTCCCTTCCCTTCCTCATCTGTGATCCTCAGATCTCAGCCTCCTAAGTAGTTAGGATTACAGGCATGAGTCATCAGAGTCATCTTGTAGTTTTTAAACATGAGAATCATTCATTTCATTCATTTGTTCATTCAATGGCATTTTCTAAGCCTCTGCTCTTACCTAGCTCTGTTCTTGGTCTTAAGGAGAACTGGATGAGATTGGAGAGCTTGGTTCCTTAAGCAACTCCCGGACTCAAGTGGGGGTGGTAAGAGGACAGGTAAAACCAGCATTAATGGTTTTACCTTTAAAAGTCAACATGTAACCCAAGGTCAGGTGCCTCTTTCCGTGACATTCTTAGTAGACCTAGAAACAATGCAGGCAGCTGAGGGGTGAGGGGTGCCTTAACATTGCCGGGTGCCAGATAAGGAAGAAATATGCTAGAAGTCATAAAATGCATAAAAATGCATAAAATGCACATGGGAGCTTTAGGCTGATATCAGCCAGGATTGAGATAGATGTGAGCCTAGGAGAGTTTGTGAACCCTTTTTGTGCAGTCTGGGAAGTGGGGAGCGCAGGTGGAAAGGGATGTAGCGGAGGTGGAGGCCCCGTTGTCCTCTTCTCAGGCAGGAAGCCCATGACAGCAAACTCCATGGTGTCCAGTGCTGCAGGGCTGTCTTCCACTATCTGCAGCTTATCTGCTGTTTGGGAACCTTTATTCCTTCACCAACCAAGGTGCTGTCTGGCAGAGGAGGATGCCTGGTAGGGGCTTCAGAAGTTTTCTTCTTCCTACTTATTTCAAAAAACAAATAATGAAGTCTTTTAACTTTCATTAAAGTTCCTGGGCACAACTAGAGTTGGAAGGAAATACACAGCTCCCCTGTCCTTCTCTCCCTTCCCCTGTCCTCCTCTCCCTTCCCCTGCCTTCCTCTCTCTTCCCCCACCTTCCCCCCTTTTTGCAGGTGCTGGGCTTGAACTCAGAGTCTGGAAACTACTCCTGAGCTTTTTCACTCAAGCCTAGTGCTCTTGCACTTGAATCACCCCTCCAAGTCTGGCATTTTGCTGGCTAGTTGCAAGGAAGAGTCTCATGGAATTCTCTGCTCAGGCTACCTTTGAACTGCAGTCCTCAGATCTCAGCCTCCTGAGTTGCTAGGATTATAGGCGGGGAGCTACTTGTATGTGTATGGGTGTGTGTATCACCTGGTGGGCTCTCTCTCTCTCTCTTTTCTCTCTCCCTCTTTTTCTCCCCCCCCTCCAATGAAATCCAGCTACCTAGGGTTATGGAAAGGAACATTGGGCACAGAGATTAAATGGCTCACTCTTAAGTCATGTATGCAGTTGGTGCAGAGCTATGGTGTTATTAGAGTCCAGATTCCTGCATGCATTCATTCGCAAGTTCCTTCATCCATGAATTCCTTTGTGCAGTAACTGATTTATGTGTTTGCCAGACACTCATTGGAAGCTAAGTAGCAGGCTCTCCGTTGTTGTGACCTTAGGTGCTAGGTGTCTGGATGGTAAGGAAAACAGATACGGACTCTGTCTCCTGGCACAGGGGTTGACTCCGTCCATCATAAACCATTTAATCATGCATAGGATTTAATCAAGGAAGTTGAAGGACTGATGTTGACTTGGGTGACT